TCAGCAGATACTTTTTGACAAGTCTCCCGTATAAATCATAACTACACTCGATTTTTGGTCGTTCTCTAAATCGATCTTTTACTCTGAAAAATTAATCCTCCTTTACTCGATTTCGTAAACGATCTTTCACTCGATTTTTCGCTCAAATCGATTTCGTGAACGATCTTTCACTCAAATCGTAATCCATCTCGCGAACCACTCTTCAGTGCTACAAAACTCCGCGGACTACGGATGCACGCAACTTTGATTTGGACGGTCTGTGATCTGATTGGTGTCTCGACTTCGTGTGAACACCCCTTTTTCCCGCGAGACACGCGTTTTGTCTCAGTGCTAGATCTCGATCTCCAATCAGATCGCAGTACAGCGAATCGTAGTCCGCGGAGTTCGTAGAGGCATCACACACTGAAGAGTGGTTCGCGAGATCGATTACGAAATCGAAAGATCGTTTACGAAATAGATTTGAGTGAAAAATCGAGTGAGATGAAATTGAGTAAAAGAACGGATTTTTTCCAAGTAAATGATGGATTTAGAGAACGATTTTTCACCCAAAAACGATTAAAAGATCGATATCAGCAAACGATTTTTTCCAAAAATCGAGTAAGTGATCGAGTAGCTAATAGATTGATTTTTGACAGACAGAGAGTCCTTACTTTTGGCGGAAACGGGGTTCCATAGAGTATATAAGTACGGACGCGCTAGGCACTGAATATAGCTATACCCTATACCACAATTAGTTTCTGGGGAGGAAGAAACACTCTGACAAAATTAATGAGTTTTCCACTTCTATACTTCGCTGCGGGATGCTCGCTTTTTAGCAGCGGTGAGTTGAGAGATGCCAGCGGTCGAACTGTCGGCAATCGCAAGCCTCGATTTTCAGGCGCCACTGAACCTCACAAAGTAGTACGTACTTATAACCTATAAAATTGAGATATTTTTTTCCAGCTCTCCCTCAGAGTGTGGATGACTGTATAGCCACGGTGCAGATTGTTGGTACAGTGTCAGCTCCCAACCAGATAGATATTCCACTAGGAACTGTCTGTGTGGAATGTGTTGTCGATGGAGTAGTAGACACAGCCACCACCACTTTCCTAATTGGAAACTCACCAATCCCATCAAGCCAGGGAATGCTGGTGGGAGGAGTTCTGGTGGTTGATGATACTAGCATGACGTTCCAGGCATCTCCTGCCATGACTTTGCAGTGTGTTAGTGGCTCAGAGGCTGTAAGACAGGCTTCAGTTTTCTTGGACGGTATGTCTCCCATGTTTGTGTAAGTGTTAGGTTTAAATGGTATTGTATTGTACAGTGTATCAACCTCCTATAATCACGGGAGCAACTACAGTCAATGAGGGAGGCACGCTGTTCCTCACCTGTGACAGCACAAACTCCAACCGAGAACCACTTGCACAGTGGTTCGACAAAGATGGCCAGATGGTGTCCTCATCTGGAATACTGAATATCCCCAACATCATGAGGTCTCAGGCTGGGAGCTATACCTCTCCTCCAAACCTTGACAACTCTACCAGCACAACTGTGACAGTAATCGTACAATGCAAGTGACAGTGTATCATTTTGTAGCTTGATCCTCTAGAAAAACATCTTTAGTTTGCGGAGGATATAGAGTCACTCCACAAACTGTCTGAACAGCTACATGCATGGAGTCCATGTCGTTGTGTATAGGTTGTAGTGATGTATTGAATATCGCTGTATTGTAATAAGTGTAGGCAACCATACTGTGTAAAGCTAATTTAATTACAGAGGAATCAACTGGGTTTCATTGTTGGAATACCTGAGATGTAGCCGAGTCACCAATGACATGTTTCAATACGAATGATGCATAAACTCACTTGTCAAGACCGAAATGACTAGATATAGTTCTATCTAAACAAGATACTGTATTTCCCATGCAGTTCTTGCCCAGGATCCTGGTCCAGGTGACTGTATTACGACAGAAGTTGTCTTTAGCCCAGGCTTCTTGCCACCGCGAACTTTCAATGCTCCACCAGGATCTGTTTGTTTCAGGTGTGTCCTCAGTGGAATCCCAATAACGGATGGTATCAGCTTTCAGGTCGATTACTCACCAATTCCGGCAGACGAGGGTTCGAATTCAGTGACAACAAAATTATACTTGTAGTCTTTGACACATTACCTTCCATCCTTCAACCCCTGTGATCGTGCGATGTTTCAAAGATGCACTAAGCAGTCAGGCAACAGTTTTCTTGGATGGTAATTGAATGTGTGCGTTAGTCATAACCTAAGGCTTTTCTGTTGTTAAAGTCCACCAACCTCCAATAATAACGGGAGAGACGACAGTCAACGAGGGAGATACGTTGAGTCTCAACTGTGACAGCTCCAACTCCAACCAGCAACCGAGTGTGCAGTGGTTCCGAGACCGACTCAACAGAGTGTTGTCCAGTGTAGGCGAGCTGACTATAGCCAGCATCGTGAGGTGTCAGGCTGGGACCTACACCTGTGTGACTGCCCCTCCCAACCCTGAAGACTCTACCAGCACCTCCGTTGAGGTGGTGGTCATATGTGAGTTTACATACATACTACATACGTATAGTATAGTATGTTTCATTCTGTATACTTCCTCCCACTGCAGCCTCACCTCGTGCCAGTTGTGGATGCAGCAGTTAGAGAAATCATGAACTCTGATAACTATAACATGCCTACTAGCTTTTAATTTGTGACCAACTAGGAATATTGCTCATAAGTGTTAGTTACAAGTTCATGTTGCTAATAACAGAGCAGCAACAACTTTGAAGCATAGATAATTTGTTATCAGATGCCTAACAAGGTTAGTTGGGCAACCATTACAAAATGCTAACAATTGATTCATGGAGCAGTGTGACACACAGGTTTGACACTCTGCATTCGTGGATGATAGGGGCCACGCCCACATTCCTACTCCTAGAGTGGAAATCTCTACTACCGAAAGGTTCTCCCAAGGGTATCGCTAGCTACTGTAACAGTGCTGACTGTCATACACAGGCTCCCACATTTCTCTTGGGATATCAATGGAGCCGCTATCCCCCCACTGATGCTATTTTTCCCACTTGACGTGGAGACAACATAAACCGCATGAGTCTAGCTATAATAGTAGATCATTGCTGGGGGCGGGAATGACACGCAGCTATAGGCACTGAATATCATAATTCGGTTCGGTTTCTACGGGGAGGAAGAAAAACTCTGACAAATAATGCGTTTTCCACTTCTATTCTTCGCTGCGGGATGCTCGCTGTTTAGCAGCGGTGAGTTGAGAGATGCCAGCGGTCGAACTGTCGGCAATCGCGAGCCTCGATTTTCAGGCGCCACTGAACCCCACAAAGTAGATAGTAGCTATACTTATAAAATTGAGATCAATTTTCAGTTCTCTCTCAGAGTGTGGATGACTGTACAGCCACGGTGCAGATTGTTGGTACAACGTCGGCTCCCAACCAGATAGATATTCCACTAGGAACTGTCTGTGTGGAGTGTGTTGTCAATGGAGCTGTAGTTGCTGCCACTTTCCAAATTGGAAACTCACCAATCCACAAGCCTGGAAATGGGGGAGTTCTGGTGGTTGATGATACTAGCATGACGTTCGAGGCATCTCCTTCCCTGATTTTGCGGTGTTTTAGTGGCTCGGATGTAAGACAGACTTCAGTTTTCTTGGACGGTATGTCTCCCATGTTTGTGTAAGTGTTATGTTTAAATGCTATTGTATTGTACAGTGTATCTACCTCCGATAATCACGGGAGTAACTACAATCAATGAGGGAGGCATGCTGTCCCTCATTGTGACAGCACAAACTCCAACGAGAACGCTTTGCACAGTGGTTCGACGAAAGATGGCAGATTGGTCTTCATCTGGAGTACTGAAATCCCCAACATTATGAGGTCTCAGGCTGGGAGCTATACCTGTCGGACCTCTCCTCCAAACCTTGACAACTCTACCAGCACAACTGTGATAATAATCGTACAGTGTAAGTGCATGTGTATAATTAGTTAGATATGCACCAAGCTATGAAATTTTCCCCACAAAATGAAGACCTTTTCTTAGATTGTTCCACCACAATCATACAGTTGCTCCTGACGTGACAGCAGACAGACAAGACCTGGTGCTTGTTCCAGTGGGGATAGGGGACTCTCCGATCTCCTGTACCTACCTCGGCATCCCTCCTCCTGACGCATCACGTGGATACACAATGGCCCACCTTAGTCCCTGCAGCCGACTCTGAATATCAGCAGTTCAATGACGAACGTGTATGTAACACGTCTCACCATCACGGAGGGGCGAGTTGTGAGGAGCCGAAGGCTGGATGGAATGGTGTCCCCCCGGGAGAGATTGGGACAAATCCCACTTGGCCCCGCACTGACGATTCGGATTAAGACGTAAGTAAACAGGAGCTCTCAGAGAAGTTATAGACACGTGCACTGTCAGAAAGTTTATCAAAAGGAAATGTACAAATTGTAGGGGGTAGATGTGTGGAGGGTGGACCAGTTATTCCAGCATCATGCCCATACACTTGTGCCATTAGCTTTCAGTTCAGTTTGTCAATAAGATTCCTACTATTTACCAACGCATCAGTCTGCTCATGATATAAGCATGTATAAGTTCATTGTGAATTGTAGTGCATTCATTCAGGAGGGAAGCAAGGCTGGAGTTGTGCCCCAATATACGCTCTGGCATCGTGCATAATCTCTTCGTCATCTCGCGCGCGCTCTCATCTCTATTAATTCGCTCTTCTCTCTCTCGTCCTCTACTCTCACCTAGTGCCCCTGGTCCACCCACTGATTGGGGGGTAGTGGAAGATTCGAGCCGAATACTCTTCGTATCGCCAGGAACCAATCCAGTCTTCAGTGGATTCCAGTCCCATAGGGCGTTCCCGTAACCTCACCCAGAGAAACCGACAGTGGCCGGAATTCTGGCAAGCGTATGACACAATGACGGCAAACCGCGACAGCCGTCGGGTCAACGCTTACACCATCGCCTCTCGGAGGGATGCGTAGTAGTCGGTGGAGGAGAGGCCTCGTCACAACTGGCGACCAGTCAATACGTAAGACAAAGCTAAGAGGTCAGCTGTTAATACATGCAGTATCGGCGTCTCGGCAGCACCAAGCATTCAACCCTCGTGTGCATGCGAGGAGGTACTGTGGGGGTCGTGTGTGGGGTGTAGGCCTACATTCTAACTTATCGAGGTTCGTGTTCGGAGACCAAGGCATTTTTCAACTAGCAAACACAGCAATTTATAAAAGCGGAGACTCTAACTGAGTCCTGTGTGACAGTGTGATTAGCAATTCCGACCACACCCCAAGGTTCCCACTGCCCATTATGAGTTCGTAGTATAGTGATCGATACGTTGCGATCGGAGGGTTTCATCTCCCACGTCGAAGGTATGAAAAGTAGCGACAAATGCATGGCACAGGCAACTCCACAGTAGGTGACCTGGACGGAAGCCCCAACACAGTCTTACAGAGTGGGGGTTCTAATATACAAACGAGGTTGTAGGACGGCATAATCGGTGTTTTTAGTTTGTGTTCGCAGTAGGGGCATC